GATGAGCTATAATGTTGGTGAAATGTCTGAAAACTATCATTTTTATAATAGCAGGACTGCGGACAAGGTTCACTCATCAAGCGGTCCTTGATAAAACAACAATATTGTTAAAATGAGATCAAACCACATAAAGGAACGGAGGATTGGAAAGAAAGAAAAATGTAGAGCACCTTTTTTCCAGATCTATCTAGACCGGCTTCCGCGAAAGCCAAATCGCCAAGATCTTGTCTGCGAGCCAACTTTCGGCCATTCTCGACACTGTTAACAAAAAAAGAAGGCAATAGAAGGAAAAGTTAGAAGAATAGAATAATGAGACAGTTTTAAATGTTTGAATGAAAATGCAGAAATGATGCGAACTTGGTAAAAAATTAAATACAAATATAAAAATGATACAGGAATTTAAAGTGCCTTAGGATTAAGTTTTAAACAGCTAATCTAGGAGTACGATAGCATGAAAATCTTAGCAATTTATCTTAAGCTAGTTTGTATTGAGTGGCTTAGGTGGTATTATTATCAGTTAAAAATAACGTGTGCGTCTGATAAATAGTTTGATGAAGAAAAAGCTCAAAAAACAATCCAATAATTTGATTACTGATTATTTCAAAGAATTTGCTGTATTAGTGAATGCTATCATCCTTGCCGCAAAATGATGAATTATTTAAGTTAAAATTCACCTAGACTCATTTTACCACATATTTTGAAACATATATAAAATGGTAATTAAGTCCAACTTTTCAGAAATTTGGTCCCTCTGGGCCAAATGGCTATCGCCGCCCAAGCCTGAAGTTGTCGCAATAGCAACGCCTGCAGCGGTCATTGAGCAGCTTGAAGCTAAGATACCGGAAGCGTTGAGGTCGAAACCGCCAGATGCTGAAATTGCGACTCTGCCTGTAGGGCTTTGACCATGTGGAGGTCCAGTAGCGATTGTAAGTGTAGGCGTAATGCCAGATATCACTGACGTCTGACTGCCTTGGGAGGCGGAAATCGCACAAGCCAGTGCATTGGCAGGGCTCCGATTCAACTGATCCTCGTGAAGAGGGTATGGACAGGCCTGAAGAAGGATAGGAGAACCCTCCTAAAAGAATAGAAAACCCAAATAGACGAAGAGATGTATAAATAAAAATGTAAGTAGATGGAAATGGAAAACTATAAAAAAATTACAAAAGGGAAAAAACCGTGATTTTAAAAACAAAATTGTAAAATAAAGACACGCCTAAGAATAAAATTGTAAAAAGACAGCGAGAAAAATAATTAAAAACTGAAGATATGGAGATCAGAATGGTGTAACCCTTGGTATGGTCGGAGTCCCCTTTCGATGTATAGAAGTGGGTAGGCCTCATGCTCGCAATTTGTTATTATTGTCAGGGAAACTTAGTAGAATGCACCTTATCCGTAGACGGGTACTATAGTAGATATCATAATTCCAAGCATCAAACTGTGGACTTAGTACATTCTTAGACGTTTCTACGGCATCGTAGTCGGCATCATCAGTGAGTCTTGCCATTCTCCTCACCAAGCCACAAGCTCGTCAGACAAATGAAGTCAATCCCTCGACTAAAGTTCTGACGAAAACAATTACACTATCACTTCTATTTAGGTCGTGAGCCATCTATCTACTCCTTACCCTCTTATCAAACTCCCGCTCTATCACAACTTCTGATTTGTTTACATTCCATTCGTCAAGTTGTGTCCCCCTTCTTGACAAATTTAGTCTGGCCTCATCACATCTGCTATTCATCCTGGCCCCCTCTCTTTTGATTGGCTAATCTGACTCGGGCCTCCTATCTGGATTTCGCTAATGGTCCCGTAAACCCGTTACTTATCTTTCAGGTTGACCGATTTCACTTGCTTCCAGTTATAGTGTGCGTTTAACTTCAGGAGCTATTTCTCAAGGTTTTAGAAACACGTACACTGAAGCTTAATCGAGCAAAGCGCCTAGGTTGTGATTCCCATGCTTGCAGATAATAGGCATTGCCATGGGTTAAATCGATGTTACCTAAGCAAACTGTGGATGCCTACCCCTCTTCGCCTGAGGCATCTCAAATCGAGTTTTAGTACATTTTGGACATAATGCAAATTTATGTGACGGTTTTGCTTCTCTGTCTGCCTAGTTCCCTGTTTGCCAGATCCCTAGTTGTACTAGTTTCTTCGAATAAACATAACTCACTGATAACGTCTACACTTGATGTGTCAAGCTCTTTGGAAATATTTCCATCTCCATTTCCAATTTTTTACCCTCAGGGAGCTTGTTCGAATAGTGATTCAAAATGATAAAAGCCTTCTAATAAGCATCTAGGAGGTAATCGATATATCAGAAAAGTTACCTAAGGAGACACAATGGGAAATGAAGATGGAATTAATTCCAAAGATCTTGACACATCAAGAACCAATATACAGGAACAAATTCGCTAACGGCTTTCCTGAAAATCCTGGACAGAAAAGAAGATATCCTGGAGTTACAACGGAACAAGAGGGAGTCATTAGCAGAAATAATCAACTTGACAATAAGGACAACCGATTTTACATTCGACGGAACCATCTGAGCAAATATTTGGACTTCCGATAGGATAGCCGCTCTCATCTCTATTGGCAAACGTCTACATGAACAAATTAGAAGATAACTCCAGGGTGTCACCGCTATGATCAGCAGTGCTCATGTGGTGCCAAAATGATGAATTCTAACTTTGGCAACATGAAAGAAAAAATTGGATAATTGTGTAAAGTTTATAAACCAAATTGATGAAATATTAAATTCACGACGGAAGTAGAGGAAAGTTAACGGTAAAATTTTCTGGATGCTGAATTGATTCACTATAATGGGACGGTCAAAAAGAAACTATTCAGGAATAAGCATTATGCCGGAATAATACTCAATTTCCAGTAACATCACAGTTAAAGGTAAAAGGCTGGAATAATGAGTAGCATGATCATCAGAAACATATGTTTAACGAATATGGAATTATGGGATGAATAATTAGTCAAAAAGATTACGATGTTGCTCGGCAACAGCTTTCCAAAGGAATACAAGGAAACATAATGGCGGTGAAAATCTGATGGCAGAACAGGAAGTACGAAAAAGCAGTAAGGACGGAGGATTCACAAAAGTTGATATGCCTATCTTCCTGCGAACTATCTTAAATATTAAGGATATGGAATATTCGGATGTTATTTTGAAAAAACGCTTTTTACAAGTCTACCGACGCAACACGAAAAGGTAGACAAATTGGATTATTCAGGTGTTTACTTCATAGCATGCGACGTCTGCAAACAGAAAAATATTAGCGAAACAGGAAAAAAAGTTAGCAAACGAATCAAGGAACATCAAAAGCTCTGTATAAAAATGGATACCGAAAGATCAGAATTAGCGAAACATATGACAAAGACTGTACATGAGATCAATTGGAAGGCAACAGAAGTAAGGGCCTCATATGGTGAAAACACACGGAAGCGGAAGATTAGGGAGACCATTGCCATACTTGGGGAAAAAAATCTAATGAGTAGGAGATTGGAAGAAGGCCCAGTTAGCGATAACTTTGCCTACTGCTTAAGCAAACTTGAGGAAAGCAAGAAGACGCTTGGATAAAAGGTTCTATCGCTAACCGAAGGAAAAGGGACCGTGACAAGAAAAGAAGAGTGAAGATCAGAAATCAAGTGAAGGCTTCTGGGAACGCAGGGCAGCCTAATTTTCACTTGGTTATGATATAAGTTTAAATCAAGCTGATTGCCACTCAAAGATAGACTCATAGGAAGTTAGGACAATATTTAGATCCACATTTCCGACGAAACAAAAAATTGCTTTTCCTTAAACAAATAAGATATATATCGATAAGAGCACCTACTTAGGAGGGCAGTATTATATAATAAATTAAAATTCTAGAAGTAGTTTGATCTTGTTTTCGCAACTTGGTAATATTGGTAGGAAAAAATTTGAGGAAATCACTAAGTCCGGAGTCAATTTTATGCATGATAATAACCAGTCAGATCGCGGACGTAGTACATCCCAAAACGTTTCGCCGGTTTCGTAGTCGGCATCGTCAATTATTCTTCCCAGTCTTAGCACCACAATAGGACTAGTCAAAGAGACACGTTAAGCCGATGATTTGACCAAATGTGTGCTAGACAGTTGTGGTATATCTCCTATCCCGGGCTATTCACCTATCCCATATATTCGTATCACGCCTTTACTAACATAATTTTTTATATGCTTATTTAAATGTAATGTGGTGTGCCCTTTTGAGCGGCTTTTATGTGAACCCTCCACACTGCACACTGGCGTTCTCACCCTCCATCACCCTTGTGCTGGGAATTTTGATCAGTCTGCTATATTGTTAAGCCGTCCATCTTTCATGGGTCTTATCAGAGTCACATCTTGTCTCGTAGGCTCCGTCTGCTATCCCCCTGGTTGCAGTATTTCACTCGACCTCTGCCACCCCATCTGTGCTACTCGAGGCGTTATTTCCAA